CGAGATGGGACAGTCTGTATATATATTTGGTAAATAAACTCTTTAAATAAATTCGGCGTTAAATCGCTTTAAATAAACTTTTTAAATAAATTGTTAGCGAGCAGTGGGAGATGGATCAACGTTATGATCAACGTTATGACGATGCGGAAACGTAAAATTCACCATTTGCGTCACTGCGGATGCGGATCTGTCCGCGCGACAACTTGATTCCCATCGATTGACATCACATAAAATAATAATATCGCGGCAGCCATGAGCCTGGGTCTTTTTCACATGTATGTTAGGTAAATTGCCCGATACAATTGCGCAAGAGATTAGTATGCGTGCATACGTATAAAAAACCGATGAAAAACAGCGGTTAGATCGATAAAATCCGCGTTCACTTTCGTTCCGAGAAACATCGTGTCTGCACAAATTACATTGCGTTGGAGCAACAGTTGCGTTGATACACAGTTGCTGACCGCATTGCAATCATTGAATCAGTATCGAGTTGCTTCTCTGTCCCTCTGATGAAATAAGTTGAAATATGCACGAAACGTTAGGAACAAATCGACAAAATAGACTAAAAGGATATTTAGGGGACTTTTTTGTTGATATATTTTATATATCAACAAAATATATATAATAAATATAACAAAATATATATAATAAATATAACTTTTTTGAATAACTTCTTTCTGATTTTATCATGTTAGTGCAGAGATAGACTGTTAGTAGAATTTATCTAAACATAATAAATTTGTAATAGTAAACTTGAGAGAGTTTCTGGGATATATAAATAATACGTATAAAACAAAAGGACAATAAATTAAGACAGAGTGTCGATATGTTTGTTAGTTACAAAACTCTATAATAATAACTTTTATAATAACATTCTCTGCTTTTACAGCGTTTTAATTTGAAAGTCAAATTCAGCATCATTAAATCAATGTATTAAAATCAAAAGAAAATTATTTAATTTTAAATTAACATGAATATACCGTCTATCGATCATGCAATGAGATTTTCTGTTTTCTTATGGGATTTTGTGATAAATAAGAAAAGTCTCATCAGTATCGTCAAAAGACTGTCTCGTGTCATTCTTGAGATATGAGGTCTTTCCTCGAGTTGAAATTTCAATTTTACTTTCGAACTCAGTATTTCATTTAACGTCTACTTTGATACTCTGAAACCTTCATCAATTCCTTTTGATTCTATTCAATCTACTAGCTTTGCCGAGAAATTCTCTTTGGAACCTACAGGCGGTACTTTGTGCACTTTCAGCTATTTGTAGGCGTTGAGTAAGATTCTTTACAACATACAGATGTTAGAAAGTTTAGATTAAAAGTAAAGCTAAAATGTCAAAGTCTGGTATTCCGTATGTGTGGTAAGTTTGTAGCCGTATAATAAAAAATACTGGGCTTAGATGGCTCTAGGAGTATGTTGGTCAAGTGCTTTTTTTAGTATTTATCGTGAGTAGAACACAATGGATATGTATACAATATCGCGAAATAGTCCTTTTAGAACATAAGTTCTTTTTCCCCTTAAATGTAAGTTACATTTAAAATCGGAATAATATTATAGTTAAAAAATAGAAAAAAATTATTTTAGTAGTAGCAAAGTAAATTTGTGAACCTCTCGAAATTTTTGTATTAATATTCTCCATCTTGAGTGAATAAAGTTAAGCGACATGTTACTAGGAAGAAATTTCCTGCAAAGCTATGATATACTCTTTTAGAAAATAAAAGCAATTTTGATTTATAAAATGATTGAAACCGAGTATGGATCGAGAACGAATGAGGTAAATTTGGTCCATAATTAAAACCTGACTGAAGGGTTATGAAGACCTCCCGAAACTTCTAAACAGGATAAATATTTTATATGTGATCTTCATTTGTCCTGCACTATTAGGTAACTAAACTGGAGACTAAAGCAAAATAAGTGTTTTGCTCTATATTTGTATTTTGATTATTATAGAATAAAATGGTTAACAGGATCGTGGCGAACATTAATAGAAGAAGACTGCTTCTATCATGTTTGTACAGTCAGTCGCAACAATTAGTTGTCTGAGAAGCTGTAACTTCAAAATTCTGAAATTTCTGTGATAAGACATCTAACCTCGATCTCCCCTACGTATACATTAATTCATTAAAGCTTGTGGATAGACCAATGAAATTAACAAGAAAACTAGTCTATAGCTATAGGCTTTAATATATTAATTTTTCCATTTCTACTGAGGAAGGTTGGAATGAAGATGTTTGGTTGATATTTGGACATGTTCAACAGCCTATTTTTTATTTTATTCTTCGATTTCGTGAGTTCTGTTAACATTTTACTCATATTCTTATTAACTTCTTTTAATCTATATTGTTTGTCGTAAATGTTTAAATTCACAGTACTGTTTGTCTTATTATTTCCAACAGTGTTTATTAAATGAAAAAATCGAACGTGTTTAAACGTTACATATATGTCAGCATTTCTGAAGAGTTTAACAGCTCATTGAGGTAACTATTGCTTGCTCGATCGACTGGACGTTTGCTCGAACGGAGTTTCCTCGTCCAAGAGCACGGTCTCATTGGTCCCAGCACTTTTTTCTTCGTCAGTGTGCTCCACTCGGAAATGACCGGCGACAAAAGCGGCCGGGGGGAGAAGAAGAAAATGCGAGCCGACAAATACGATAATAGCGCGACATCTCGCATACCTTCCGACGCCGCGCAAGTTCAACATCGTTTTCCGCGTGTTACGACATCCCGCGACAAAAAGCACGTCGTTGCGCTTAACGACGAGGAGGAAGGGCGGAAAAGAGGGAGAGGACGTTAATAATGGGCTGAATAATGAGAAACGGAGAGATGTTTACGGATCGGCTCCGGCCGAGCGACGATCTCTTGTGCAACCGACAGAGAAAGGAGGAAGCCGAGTCACAGAAGCGATCGATGCAGGACCACCGATCTCGCCCCTGGCGGCACTACCACGAGGCACCTGGTCGCCTGTGAAACTGTCATATCATTCGCGAATCGGTTTTCCAGACAGAGGAAACGACACGATAATATAATTGCCCGGCCGCGGCGGGACCGCGATTCAGTCTCCGTCGCTCCGACCCGGCGAAACATGAAAGCCTACACGCGGAGGAAGCCGGTGGCCATGGTGCCGCTGCTGTTGATCCATCTGGTAAAGTCCTCCGTATCACGAGACATTCTTAACTCTTCATTAGACGCGCAACTTACGGATGTAGTTTAAAGGAGCCAATACCGATTGTGGTCCAAAACAACGTTGCGCCGGGAAAGAAGTGATTCTTCGTGCGGAAATAAGCCGAAATTGCGAAATAAAATTTTCTCGTACGGGTCTTAATTTTCGAGAAAATCGATATTGACAATTCGGTGAGTGCACTTGGCGAAGATGCAGTTTGTCACGTGGCACAGCTACGGCTATTGTGTTTGCACGCAACGTTCGGGTGACTTTAATGAGTGACTAAATTCGATAATGCTATCGTGTGTGCAAATTCGATAGCCGTAGCCACATAATAAACCGTATCTTTGCTAAGTGCATGCATACCCACTGGATTTTTAACATCGATTTCCTCGAAAACTAAGTCTCTCTCGTGCGAAATAATTTTACTCCGCACCTTCGACTTATTTTCGTACAATGAATCATCCCTTTCCCGGTGTAACGCCGTTTCGATCATAACCTTGTATATTAATTGTGTTTTCAAGAAAATTATATATCTTGACAAAGTATATATTTACAGTGGCAGATCAGGCATTGTAAATTTTGCGTAAAGATTTTGCGTAAAAACTTTCACCACTTGAAGAGTTAAGAGTGATTGCCTCTGGGAGATAAATATAAAATCAGGAAAAGAAAATGACGACGCGCGGGCGGTTGGGAAAAGCGATCGTACACAATGAATTTAATTAATCCCCGTCGTGGCGTGAATCGTGATATTTTGCAACAATACGAGCATTTTCTCGCGTGAAAAATGAAATGAATAACCAACGATAAACGCGCAAATGTGAGTGCTACAGCGAACGAACGGCGAACAAAAGAGTGACGCGTGTTTATGTTAACTTTTAATTAAAGCAATCAACTAAGGCTAGGTAAAAACCGGTGGGCTGCGACGTTAATTATAAAATATTACGCGAATCTCTTGTCTGTATTGATATTAATCTAATTGAAAGACATATCGTATTTAATTATATATGAATTTTATCTTATTTATATAAATAATTACATCGTTCTATCTACTTCCACCTACTTTCTCCCTTTCTCTCTTCCTCTCTCTTTTTCTCTTTTGGTATACAGAGTATTACCTTTCCTCCGTCCACTAAATAAATAGCGTTAATTCTTATGGCAAATTAAATCAGAAAGTCCTGAAACATTTTTTTCTATTATACTTAATGAAACAGTTATTTTTAAATAAATTGTAGGTAATTAGCGTCCTTTAGACAGGCGCATGTCTGTAAACCGCTCGTCTGATAGTGTACGTGAGCGCTTCGTGGCACTTTTATGGCGCTTTCACATCTACGCTCACAGACATGCGCCTGTCTAAAGGACGCTAATTAGCTACAATTTATTTAAAAATAACTGTTTCATTCATCAAAAGACGGATTTGATTAGCTGGAATTTATTTAAAAATAACTGTTTCATTAAGCATAGTAGAAAAAAGTTACTCAGGACTTTCCATATTCAATATTTCATAAGGATATAATTTTTCCTAAGGAATACCGCTATGTACTTAGTGCAGGGGGTAACAGGAGAAAGGTAACACCCTGTATATACACCTGTATGTACACTCTATATATACAAATATGAAATGTATATAATGAAAGAAATGATCGAATTGTCGTTACTCACACACGCGACATTCGTTTAATTACCTTCCAATGCGCGAATCGCTCACGTCAGTTGAATTGTTGTCAGTCAAATTGACGTTCATACAATTTATACATTTACACTGATAGAGTTGCCAATTAATGTCAACAGTTAATTAATATTTACAGTTAATGTGGCGAGCGAGCGACGCAGACATGGAAACGAAATTTCCGAACGTCGAGCGCTCGGCTCCCGGCGATATTATCCTAGAAGAGGTGATCATCAGCGGAAGCGGGAACAATACGCGAATAATCGCGAACGCAGTGGCGCAGAAGCCTTCGCAGCTCAGTCACGAAATCCTTTCGCTTTTGTCGAAGCGCGAGACACAGGAACAACGTTTGACTTCGGATCAGCATGCGGGCGAGTCGCGGGACGCGACGATCGACGTCCACGCCGAAGACGACGAGCACAATTTGGAGAAACTGAAGCACGTCGTGGCGAAGTACGAGCCGCAGAAGATCACCTCCGGGATAGCCAAGAGAAAAGTCGTGGTTGCGCCCATCGATATTTACGGTAAATAAAATGAGATAACTCCACCCACTCTTTCTTTTTCTTGCACACAATCTCGCTATTTTATATTTTTCATCTATTTGTATTTTTAATTTTGTTCTCACATTTTTTACATTTTATTTTTACTTTTTGTTTATATTCTTACTTTTCTCTACTTTTAATTTCTAATGTCTTGTTCTAATTTTTACCTTCATTTCGTTCATTTTACGTCATCTAATTGAAATGTTATTATACTATACCCAGGATTAATAATTAATTAATCAATTAAGTGTTAAGTTAAAAAATTAATAACTTCTTACTTAATGTAGTTAATTTTAAGTAAATTAACTTTTAGTTTGTAGTAGTTATTTTAAAATATATAAAATTTAACTTATTAATTTCCTTTTCATATATTAAAGTAATTCATTAATATTAAAATCATTGTTGCCTGCTTATTATACAGAATACAAAAATTAAAAATAATGCCAAATTTCTTTTCGTCACTTTTGGTGTTTTTTTTCTAAATATAATCTTAAAAACAGTCGGTATTTTCTTATAAAACATCACTTTTACATTATTTCACATAAATTTTATCTGCGATTAAGAAGTCAATTATGCAGAAAATATGTAAATATTGTTTTGTCTAATTGACGTCTAATTTTAATAAATGAATTTAATTTTAGCTTAACCTTTAATAGTATAAATTATTTTTTGTTAATGTAATCGTGTTTATCAAATTTTTAATTTTAATTTTAATTTTAATGTAATTTCTAACTTTTACCAAAATTAATTTTAATTAATTTTAATAAGCCATTGACTTTAACCTTGACTTAGTTAAAAAAATTAATTTATTCAATTCTAACTATAACTATGTATATCGTGTTCTGAAAAAGTTTTTCTAAAGAAAATTAATCAGTTTTCTCTCTCTCGACGAATAACGGAAACACAAATATTCGATATATGCGTCGCGGAAATTCATTCTCTCTCTCTCTATTTCTTTATATATATATATATATATATATATATATATATATATATATATGTTTGTATGTATGTATGTATGTGTGTATGTATGTATGTATGTATATATGTGTATATCCATACGCATTTCTTAGATACACGAGTGATAAACGACGGTAAGGCCGCGGAATCAACAACAACGGAGTCGACAACGGATCTCGATAATACTTACCACGAAGTACTGCGGAATGTATCTCACGAAATACCCCAATTGACGATGAACAACGCCGGCATAACATTAAGCCCGTACCCGTCCCAAGAGATGAAAAATTTGAAGCAAATTCCCACACTGGAAGCGACGATTCGCACGCTAACTGACGATGGAACGGAACAACCGTCGCACTCCAATATCGATCCTTCATACGCCCTGTCTGCTTTAAAAAAAAAGAAGCTGTTGCTTAAGAAGTACACACAACCGAGCTACACGATCACGGCGTCTCCCCGAGCCTCATCAGACGAAGAATCGAGACTCGACGAATCTACTGCTGATATCAACGAATCGACAATATCCAAGGAACATTCCCACGTGGTGAACGGAAATCCGAAGCTGAGGAACGAACCATCGACCCTATCATCGTTGAATGTTTCTCTCGATCCAACGGGTGAGTCGGGAAACCATCGCGAATGGAATGTTGAAGATCCTTCTTCGCAAATCCCCCTGTCTCCAAAATCTCCAACTGTTCTACAATCGAGCAATCATGTCCTCAACGCGGACAACTTGAATAAGAAGCAGCCGAGCCTCCAAACCGTTTTCAACAGTCTTCACTTACCGTTGAAATACAACAAAGTGCCCAGACCGTTCTCCATATCTGTGATAGATCCTCCGCAATTGCCCAACGCGGCTACTAACATCAAAAATGTAGCGACAGCATACAAAAAGCCGAGCTCTTCACTGACAGACGTCACGCACCAGATCGTCCACCCCGCCAGTACCGTTCTGCCGTTTGTCCTTCCGACTGAGCAGTTCAGCACGCCTCTTGCGCGTCACTACGTCCCGATAAAACGCGGGAACCACGACTTCAAGTCGAATGGGATTTACACGACAGCGACGACCTTCAATGCGAAATCCCCAGGTGAGGGGATCGCTGTCTCGCAGAAGCCAGCACCTTATGCAAACGCAATCGACACCACAAAGATCCCCGTGGTAGCCGTTAATGGCCATCAGAGTCCGAATTATTATTTCGTCACGGAGAACCCTATGGAGCAGAAGACTGTAGCGACCAGCTTCGCGACGACTTATATTCCCAGTCAACCACCTGTCACGCGTATTCTGCAGCGACGGAAGGAACCACAGGACGTCGCCCACAATACGGAATTCGTGTCCAGAGTCGCTTCTAGCGACGACAAGACTAACCTGAACGCGAATCCCGCCATCGCGTTGTACAACAAATTCGCAGGTTTGTACTCGATACCCACAACCGACGTACCCAATGTACTGCACGCGTCACAGGCGATCGCTCAAGACTACGAGAACTTTAAGCAGCCTTCGTTGCTTGCGCAACAGGCTTCCGCTCTTCCTTACAAGACTCGGGGAGCCATCTCCTTGAAACCTATTCCGCCTGCATTGCTAAAACCCCGGCCGATCGCTTCGGCCAAACCACTCGCACCATATTTTGACTACAGCTTGTTGCTCCCGCAACAACCAGGCGCAGGAAAGCTCATTGGCGAGGGTGGCGAAAAAATCGTCGGAAAGAGCGAGCCGTCTCGCGTTGGAGACAAGATCGAGGGCGACACTGCCAACGATAAGAGCACTCTCGGGAATTATCAGACTCAGATTAATCACGGCGCTTACAAGATTCACGAAGATGTGAGGGCAACGCCGAATGCCCATGAGATTCACGAGACGCCGAGCAAGCGGAAGCAGAGTCATAACGAAGATCCTTATTATCAGCGAAGTCGTGATGATGAGCGCGAGGACGAATATCGGCGACGTCAAGATAAAAACGACGGTGAGGACGGCGGATCTAAGAACGTCCGCAACGAGAACGACGAGGAAGACGCTGGTGAGACGCGAGACGACGAACACAAGACCCGCGAGAACAAGGACAAAAATGACGATAATTATCATAGATATGACAAGTTCAAATACGATCGAGATAATTCTGAAGGAGAGCAACGTAAGCAGCAACATAACGGTGCTGAAAGATACGACGGCGAGGAACGTCCTCGTGACAAATACGACCGCGATATTGGTGTCAACCATGAACTTACCGATGGTTTACGATATGACGAGAATGATGAGGAGTATCGCAGCGATCGTTACGAACAGCAGAAATCAGCGCGAGATGGCCGTTACGGGGAAAAAAGCCGGCGAGATCGCGAAAAAGAAGAACATGAGGACGACAGTGCTACTGAATTGGTTGCTGGACGCGCTGAAGACCAGCGTGCTCGTGAACAGCATGGAAAGTACCAAAAGATACGAAATAACAACGGCGACAAGCGTATATATTACAGTCACCTAACTAGCCCAACAGATTCTCTTCGTCAAGCTCAGCAGAAGGACGAGGAATACGGCGAGATTAAACCCAAGCACGTCCACGAAGAGTATCAGCAGCAGAAGCGTGTCAAGGATGATTACCGTGATCTTAAACAGGAGGATAACGGAAGCAAGGGTCACGGTAACGAGCAAGAGCATGGTGAGACTCAGGATCACGCACATAAGGAGCATCACGATGAGAAGAAACACGGGGAAGATCACAAGTTCGAGGCGGGCGATGGCGGAGAGCACGAGGAAGAACACCATAAGCACGAAGGGGAGAAAGGTGACAAGGTGAGTTATCCGTTTAAGAAAGCTGTAAACAGAATGCAAAGCGTTAACTTTATTGAGAAGAATATTTTCAGTATTTATAACTATAATTATACGTAGAGAAATAATTGCTGTAAATTATGACTAAGAAAAGTATTCTTTTTTGTTAAATTCTACTGTGATTTTAGTGAAATTAATCTTATATGTATATTACTAATACTATCTTCATGTTAAAGAACAATGAGAAAATTTGATTGAGATAAAAATAATTATAATTTTAGTTAGATCAATTATTTATTTTTTGGTATAAAACTGCCGACAATTAACACTTCGTGTCTTGTGCCTCCAGCCAAATAAAAGTGCTCACACAGTATTTATGAGATACATATTTCAATTTTTGTAGATAATACCGGAAGCTTCATTAATGATGTTATAAGAGGGAAAATAATCTACATTGTATGTATTTTTAACAAAATATTTATTTCAAAACTCACAAAAACAACAGAAAATTTAATTTTATCTAATAACATATTATAAAATATATCCTAATTATTTAAGAAAAAATGAATTATATAAGATAAAAGTACCAATGCCTGGACACGCACTTAATCCTGGACATTCTTATTGTTTTGGTCTTGAAATATAAATATTTAAACTTTCAACATAAAATATATATGCAAATATTAAATATGTAAGAATGTCTGGGATTAAGTACGTATCCGAGAATTGGTTACTTTTATCTTACCTCTCAGATAAAGTACAAATATTGGACATTAATGATTGTCTTTTATCCGATTAAAATGACATGTTTTAAAAAATACATACACCGTAAAAAATTTGTAATGAATTTAACACATTTCATATGTTCCGATTTATCTGTTTTAATCTTTGTGTTAATTTAATACAAGGCAAAAATGTAAATGAATAACAAATAATATGCCGAAAATCAACATTAATTTTGATCAACCATGTTAATTACTTCTAAGATTGACTGAAAAACACATCAGTCAAAAGCCGAGACACAAAACTATTTCGGGTTTTGACTAAAGCACTTGCTTATCCCGCATATTGACTAGCCAATCCTAGAAGTACCCGTGCTATGTATTTTGACTATACATATATATTTTACTTATTTCAACATTGTTTTAAATTAATATTTATTACTTACAATGTTACGCATTAGATAATAATATGAATGTATAAGATAATTTTATTCAATGAATAGTAAATTTATGAGTGACTAAGAGATTTATGTGTCACTAAAAATACGATACTTAGGGCCAGTTTTTCAATTATAGTTTAAACTTAGATTTTTATTTAAATTCTGTTTAAAAAAAACAAACGTATTGTTAGAATATAGTTTAAACTTGAATCCAAGTTTAAATTGTTATTGAAATACCGGTTTCCTTAATGATAATACTATCTTTGTCGGAATAGAACGTCGGATTTATTTCACATCGATTTATTTTTGATATTTGAGACGATTTGGAGAATCGTCGGTGAATTACGTTTCGATGGTTTCGTTGCAGGGCTACAAAGTCTGGCATGAGGATGAGAAAGCTGCAAAAGGACACCATGACAAGGAACATTCCAATAAGGAATATGACGAAAAAGTTGGTGAAGAAAAGAAACACAATGAAGAGAGTGGATACCATGAGGATCATAATCACGATGAGAAAGGAGAGAAGACGGCCGAGTTTGGTGAAAAGGGCGAACATAAGAAAGGACACAGCACAAAGGGAGAGCACTCGGTGCACAAGAAGGTAAGGTGGTGTGGATAACTGAAAAATAAAGGATATTACACTTATTTCTGTTCGTTCCACAACGTGAAAAAGTCACGTTTTATCAAGATTTTTAAAGTGTTTAATCCAATTTTGTTTATAAAAATTCTCAACGTATTAACGTATTGGAAAAACTGAAATTAATTAAAAAGTTTTAAGTGTTAACAATGCTTATAATTGTATTGAGGAATATAAAAGAACATTCTTAACTGAAGGATTAAAAAGTTGAAAAAATGAAGGATTGAAACAAATATGTACAATATGTACGAATTAGAAGTATTAATCTTCATCAGGGAATCACTGTTTTCATTGTCAAACGTATGACGTTCAAAAGCTTGAAAATTGCTGAGTGTTAGATAGGAGTCGAATTCTGAATAATGATTGTGACGTGAGAGAGATATTCAACGATCAAATTCAGTGATATTGAGAGAATTCTGCGGAGAATAATATAAAAAATATTCAACGCGTTAATAGTAAAGTACATGAACCAAATTGGATAGATGATATAGTAGTAGACTTAGTAAAAGTTAGTTGTATTGATATATTCCACTGTTTTCTTTTATTAATATAAACGTGGAAAAATGCTAGGCCTGATTAGAAACAAATGTAATCAGTCTTTATATTATAAACTGAAAAAGTGCGATAGAAAAATGCCTTGCTGATGTTCGCATCATTACAAAAAATAGTTGCTAACATAGTAATAATCATTATAGAGTCGAAATATATGTTATTATCATGTCGAAGTTATCATATAACACATATAATATAAAACAAGAAAATTATTTTTTAAAACGACTTTTACGTTTTACATGCATACATTATTTCTTATAAAATAACAACTTTATTTCGTATGAAATAAGAAAAAGAGATAATCAGTATCTTCTTGTAAAATTAATTGCAAATATAAGCAAACTGGACTGGTAATGTGGCTTCTATTGTTCATTGTTTAATATAATTTTGGTTTTAGTTTCAATGAGCTTTGGAATAATTTAATTAGAGAATAAGCATTTTTAAGTTTCTTACTAAGAGACCAAATAGGACTCATCGTTTAAATTCTTCCATTTCTTAATTTTTTCCAGCAATTTGTTTGAATTTTTAAAATCAATTATCGAGTCTTTAAAATGTGTTTTTTGAAATGTTTTCTTGAACAGATTATGAGCATTTTACTAACACTTTAAAGTATTTGATTAATTTGGACGTTTCCCCGACATAATGGAGACTTTGTTATGAGCAAGCCCGGATTCAGCGGGTTAGAAACTATGGAGAAGCATAACTTTTTCATGTACCACTCGTGGAGCAAGAAACGACATCTTTTTAATATCTTCTCCTTTCCGGAGAATAAAAGACCCTCAATCACATTCTCGATGTATGGCCGTAGGACGAGTACGAGAAGAAGACGGTGTTCTTCGATGAGTTCCACGACGACGGCGAAATGGAGAAGCACGGCGAGCACCATCTCGAGCACAAGTTGGAAAAGGGCGGCCACGAGAAGAAGGCGCACCACGACATCGTGGATCACGAGGAGAAGCACGGCAAGCAGCAGAAATACGAGAAGGGCAGCCATCATCACGAGGACGATGGTCATAAAGTCCACGAAGGCCACGACCATCATTACGATCACGATCACAAGTATGGAGAAAAGGGGGGCCACGAACACGGGAAGAAATGGAGCTTCAAGAAAGGCGACGATGGCGGTCACAAACACAATCGCTGACCCTGGGCGGACCTGCCACGAAGGAGACAGTAGTTTCGCGATGCTCGCGATTTCGGACATTGACCGGTGCTCAGGACAGATCGATGCCGCGTGTCGAAATTATCGTCGGTGTCAGTTAATGTTGGACATTAGTCGACTAGAACTTTCACTGGCTAAAATAACACTGGTCAACAGTCATTTTGCGCCAGAGATAAAAATCATCAATTCTTACCAATTTTTACTTACTAAATTCAAATGTAGCAAACAAAATATCCCATTGATAACAGTTTTAGAGATATACAGCAATAGATTATTATACATTTTCTTTTGAAATTAATATTAATATTGATACTAATATTAATATTAATATTATAAGAATATTAATACATTAATATTAATATAATAATATAATATTAATATATTAATATTTTCATGGTGAAACCATCTTATTAGAGCCATTTCATTACTGCGAAAATTGTATTATTACCCTGTCAAGGCTGTTAGCAAGTACCTTGTGTAAATTTGCTTCAGTTTAGCCACGAAGGAGACACGAAGGTTTAACTTAAGAAGAGATAACGTTTTATTTAAAATCTTATTTAAAATGTGTTTCTTTTACTTAACCTTGTGTTTTAATCATTGTTAATGGCATTGTTCTGCAAGCAGAATAGTAATATGTCACACAAGTGATATTAATAGAAGTGATTATATTTGTTATATTTGTGATGAATTTACTTTAATCAGGTTAATGCCATTGATTTATAAAGTATACAAATTACATTTCGGATGCAAAAAGTAGGAGATGATGATAAGATTTGAGCTCCTTATATTTGTTATAAAATTTGTATATATATCGACTTTGCAATGAATTTGGTTAGAGGGTAAAAACTAAGCTACTGCTTTCTCAAAAATTGTTGCGAATTAAAATTTTTATTGTTATTTTCTTGTTCAAAGCGTTTGAATTATGTAAAAAAATATACCAGAAGTGTTCGACACAAGCAAGAAGTTAAAAATTATTGCCCAATATTATCGCAAAATCAACAACCAAAGTTAATCAATCATCATATATATAAGAGAACTCCAAAAAAATATAAAATATTATCCGAAATTCTCTTATGATATACCTCAAGAGGATTCTTCAAAGGGAAAATATCCTAACATAAAAAAAGAATTCTAGTTACTAGATGTTATTTCCATATTTTAAGTGAAAATTTTTTTTTATTTTTTTTTTAATTTGTAATGATATTTCTTTTCTAATGAAGAAACATAATATTATGTTTAGAATATTTTTCTTTTAGTTTTAGAAGAATACTTTTAAGGCCATATGTAAGAAGGTTCCGCTAAGGATGAAATTTTTTTTAGTGATATATACGAATAATTTGATCGATTGATAAAATTAATTATTAATCAGTATATAATGCTTTATTTGATCTTATACTGATTAATCATTAATTTGATCAATTATTAAATTATTCGTGATTACATACATGACAGTTGATTAATTTGATTATTGATTTGCCGATTATTTTAGTCATCTAAATTTTAATCGATTAATAACCAATTACGCGATCAACACCAATACTGGTGTTAATTGCGTAATCAAGACGTTGCACTCTTTGTTACATTTTTTAAGGACTTCACGTACTCGGAAACTATCATTGTAATCTGCACGCATTGGTTCTTATCTCAATCTAAGTTTCGTTTTGACGACAGACTGATTTTGTTTCGAATAGCTACTCGGATATCTGAAAAGTCCGTGCCGCTTCGAGTACTGCGATTTTTTCTTTTTACTGAAGTGAAGAACACTCGATTTATTTGAACATACTTGTTCCTCAGGTGAATTATAATTGTTGCCTTTCTATGCGAGTTAAACGCGCTTTTGTCTTGATTTGTTTGGATTTTATGAGTAAAATATTATAAGCGTAAACATAATAACAAAAACTCTCTTCGCGTTACGTTGCGGGAAAAGAGAACCAAATGCTACAAAAACTTTAAAACTTATTTGCATCGTCTATACGTTGAAAAAGGAAAAGAATGGAATTTAATTGAATATACAAATTTCGGCGATACTTTTTTACTATTCTAATACAAAAATGTAATAATGGCAATATACATCATATTTTATTATCATTATTACTATATATCACTAACACTATGATAGTACTTTTACTACAAAAATAGTTTTATTTCACAATTCAGTTATAGTTCACAAGTATCAGATTTATTTTTTCTCAGTATAGGAAAAAAGTTGTTTAGAGTCGGAAAATAGTTTAACGATTATAATAAGGAAATTTTCGTCGAAAAAAAAGCACAAAATGACCAATAATTGTGAATGTTGTTGGTATTCTTGTTAACCAAAAAGGATCTAGCCAAGTGTGCGAGATAACAGAATAATTAAATATTTCTAAATCAAATATTTGAAAACGTGAAATACTCATGATAGTTCGTAAGGAGTATTCTCTTTTTACTTTACATAGAGAAACAGTAAATATTTATTTATAGTAGGTATTGATAACGCATATTTATTTATACTAATATACAAAATATCTTTTTAAATAAGAAATTATACATTTTCTTAAAACATTTTCTAAACTAAGAAAACCTTAACTTTTCATGTGAGCAATTGTTTATTCTATTTAAATAAAAGAGAATTCAGATGTAAATAATGTATCATTAGTAACCACCAAGTAAATATTTATTACCTTTTAGATATTTTTTCTCTCAGTATACATACATTGAGAAAAAAACGGTTCAATCGACAAAATCGACAGTTACCGGCCATCAAAAAAATATTGATTTTTATTGTTATTTTCTTGTTCTGGGCGTTCGAATTACGCAAGAAGCATATCAAAAGTGTTTGACACAAATAAAAAGTTAAAAATTACTTCCCAATGTAATCGTCAAATTAATAACCAAAGTGAACTTACTATATCGACGTAACTTATTGTTGCATTAACATTTATTTTGTCAAATAGACCAAATATTTCTTTAATGAACGGTGATCGCCGATTTTGTTGATTCAACTGTTTTTTCTTAATATAGAAAAACCATAAAGTCAAGTTATCCAAAGCATATACTTTTTCGATAATCTACTATATAAGAATATCATAATAGAAAGTTTCGATCAATCAGTTATAATAGAAGTATCATACGTTATACACGTGGCGCTATAGATTATATCATTATCTAGTTTCAGTTAAGTGAGAAAGAGAAGAGTGATCGAAATATCGCAGAAGAGCACTAATTGAGACGGAAATATTGATTAGCCTGCGAGCTGAGTTTTCACAAAGCTCGGAAAAACTCGTATGAGCTTTATTGTAGATAAATCTGTGTTTTTCTGATTCATTGGAGGAAATTCGCTCGTAGGTCATTCGATTAAATCACGACGCGTGGTTGCATGTGTGCAAATATGTGTGTGTATGTATGAATATGTATATGTGTGCGCAACGCATGTGAAAGGAGAAGAGAAAAAGAGTGTGATACAATAAAAATTTTTAAATTAACATTAATCTGTCAATATAGAATATTTAATTTTTGGGGCAGAAATTTCATAAGAAATATTCCCTAAATTTCTTAGAGTGAAATTCCATTCGAAGAGTGAAGTGACTATTCAGTCACTCATATACATTGAGAGAAAAAAATATCTAAAAAATATCTAAAAATATTTACTTGACAGAGATACTGACAGCATATTTATTTAAGTCTAAAATGTTTTATTTAAATAGGGTAAATAATTACTTTTCATGAAAAACTAAGGTTTTCTTTTAAGGTTTTAAAAAAATATATAAATTTTCTTATTTAAAAAATATTTTATATTAGTATAAGTAAATATATATGTTAGTATATATATTTATCAAATAAATCTTTAATATTTTTTATTTATTTTTTTTCAGTGTAGAATAAAATTGAATCATTGAATGATTATTTTCACTCAAAATTGAAAGATAAATATGATGTACTTTATGCTCACAAAAATATATTCACTTAAATCGATTGAAAGATTTGTTCATTTGAATCCACTCTAAGCTTGAACAAAACATTCACTCTTGTGATTTCGAGTAGTAGTACTTTTATAATCGCTTTGAGTGAAAATACCGTCATTTTCCACTTGTTTTGAGTCAGATTCTACCTTAAGTAATTTAAAGAGTGACATAATTATGTGTGCCATTTGTCGATTTCATTAATCCGTTACATTTCTCACTTTTAAATAAATGTTTTATATGTATTGGTGTAGAACAGAATTTACTTTGAGAGATACAGCTCTTAAGATCGCGAGAGAAGAACATTGTAGAATGAAATTTCTACACACACAAACCTATCCTGTAGATAGACCGGTTATTGAAATGACGTTCCCTAATGAGATCTCCGATGGACGGCGCGTTTGTCAACGATCGCCTTCGATTAGGAAGTGACACAATTAATTGGCAAGCAATACCTCGCTATTGTGCGCAATTGGCGGTGACGACGTTTGACTTCGCTGAAAATGCAATTTCCCCGTTACATTCTGTCAGACCCTCACCATCTCGCTTACGTTTCCGCCATAAACGCGAAAGTGGTTCCGTTTTATGTCACGTTAGAGGGATTAATATCCACATGGGGATGTGGACGAGAGACCGATGGTGGAACAGCGCCATTTACGTCTCTTTAGCGCCCCGTCGAGAAAGAGAGAGAGGGGACACATTAAAAAATTCCTGTCTCCCAGTTCGTTCCGGAGACTATCTGAGAAATTCTCCAAAGCAAAGACGTTTGACAGAAGACGATCGTAAGAATTAATCGCGCATTTTCTTTATCAGCGCTTTCTCTACTCTATTCTACTTTATTTCTCTCTTTCTTTCTCTCTCTCTCTCTCTCATCCTTTGCGAACCGATAACGCACCACCAGTTTCCACGTCCGAGTACAAGTATCGATCGATCGTGCGATATTAAGGCCGGGAATCACCGGGAAGAATTTCAGTGAGAGAGAGGGAGGCGAGGGAATGAGAAGTCGAGGAAGTGAAAGAGGGTGAGGCAAGAGAGAAAGAGAGAGAGTCGCGAATGCAAACGACAGACGATTTACAGCCCGCGTTTTATTAGAGGCGCTATCAGTCTCTTTGGCAGCGGTGATTGAAGATCTCTACTGACGCGAGTTAATATCGA